TAGAAATGCTTTCAAAGAACCGTAACACTGATTAAACCAGTCTAAGATGAACTTAAAGACTGGTGAGGAGCTGATTAAACCAGATGTAGAAATGCTTTCAAAGAACCGTAACACTGAACAAACCAGTCTAAGATGAACTTAAAGATTGGTGAGGATCTGATTAAACCAGATTTGGTGAGTTTAAGGAAGCGTAACACTGACTAAACCAGTCTAAGATGAACTTAAAGATTGGTGAGGATCTGATTAAACCAGATTTGGTGTGTTTAAAGAAACGTAACACTGACTAAACCAGTCTAAGATGAACTTAAAGATTGGTGAGGATCTGATTAAACCAGATTTGGTGAGTTTAAGGAAGCGTAACAATGACTAAACCATCAATTTTCCCAAAAGGGTGTTCAAATAGATAGAGAAAAACGTTGTAATTATTTTTTTACTATATATTTTTCATTTAGTAAAAATATTTTTTGAACTCTGTTTGGAGTTTTATTTCATAAATGTAATAAATAAACAAATAAACACCTCTAGCGGAATTTATCATTAGATTACTCCAAATTCCCCATTTAATTTACTGAAAACAGACTAAACTTCACAAGTACTGTAAGATTTTATAAAACATGGTATAAATTAGTGCTAACCAATATTTAAAATTTGTAGTTGTCGAACCCTCTACTGGCGCTACAATCTTACTCTGAACAGTATCATTGGTGGAAATTCCATGACTCAATTTTTCGTGCTTTTATTTTATCCATGTGAAATACTAGCTACGCCATCCCGGGACTTGCTGACGTACAAACTGTTACAGGAAACGATTTAGTATGGTGTGGATCACAAGACTTGGCTATTTCTCGTTTTTACGACTGGGAAAGTTTGTTGCTGACCTTGCTATATGGTGTCACGTGGTTCCTCTTTATATTTTAAACTCCGTAACTTCCTCCTTCACCATTTTTGTCCCCCTGTATTCGAAAGTAAATTATGCAGTTATTTCTTAAAGAAACGGACTGAAAGAAATGTAATATTTTTATGTTTCAATTTACATTTAAACAGTCCTGAAGTTAACTCAATCAAAGATTCGTCCCACTAACTAGTGATGTCGAGTTAGTGTTTTATTGATGTTATTTGTATGTTATTTTACATTTACCTAATGTAATACAAATCAAAACATTACAAGTTACTGAGTTCTTTAGGTCAAGTATTAGTTACTTACAGCAACCGATTTTACACGTTACTGAGTTCTTTAGGTCTGGTATTAGTTAGTTACAGTAACCGATTTTACACGTTACTGAGTTCTTTAGGTCTGGTATTAGTTAGTTACAGTAACCGATTTTACACGTTACTGAGTACTTTAGGTCAGGTATTAGTCAGTTACAGCAACCGATTTTACACGTTACTGAGTACTTT